AAGTACAAGCTTTACAGAAGAATTGAGCAAACAGCACAAAGAGCTCCAATGCCCCTGTGCATGCTGTTTCCTCTATTATCAGTCACTTACATTATATCTGCTCAAATTAATGAACCAAGACTGATACATTCTGATTAAAGTCCACAGCTTTTTCAGTTTTCCTTAGTTTTGACCTAATATCCTTCCTGTTGTTGTCCAGGACCCTATCCAGGAGACCCTAACTTTACATGTTACCTACCATACCTTTACAGCTACTGTGACTCCTTGGACTCCTCTTGGCTATGACTGTTCCTCAGACTTTCCCTTTTTGATAAACCTTGACAGCTTAGAGGAACACTGGTAAGGTATTTACAGCATATCCTTCAACAGTGATTTGCTTAAGTTTTTCTGATGGTCAGACAGGCTTTTGTTTTGTTTATAAAATGAGTTTAGTTTAATAGCACTTGTGTTTCATAAATATGATTGCAAATGCTTTAGAGAAGAGGCAAAACTGTGAATTACAAGACTTGAGAATAGCCCTCATTAAAACTGATGAAAGTTCAGCAACTGACATAAGTTATTTTTACTGCGTACAGCATTTTATTTTTTTGTTGTTGTTGTTGGGGGAAGTCACGGAAGTGCCATCCTCACACGCCTCAGGGCGTGTGCTGTCAGCTGGGGAGGTGCCTGTCAGTTCTCCCTTCTGTGAAGCAGTTCTTCCCTCCCTGTTCACGCTGGATTCTTTGCTAGACCATTAAGCACAACTGACACTGAAGAAATGGTGAGTTATGCCCACCAAAAGTTTTTGCTCACTGCCTTTTATTAACATAATCCTCTCCAAAACCCATAACATACCAATATCACACACTGTCATACACATTATAGAAAACAGACACAGAGAACTTAGTTTAAGGTTAAAAAGCTAGAAAGTACTAGGCTCAGGAAGCAAATGAAAGCCACCTGAACCCTGGCCTAGTGCTCTTTTCACTGTGATACACGGAAGCTCAAGGACATCAATTACATACTCACAGGACTTTTCCACACCACTTATTCAGTGATAACTTATTATTATTATTATTATTATTATTATTCAGTGATAACTTATAACTTATTCAGAGTGATAACTCTTTCTTGTGAACTCAATCAACTTACTTCTCTTACTTCTAGACCAAAGTCATGCTATTTTTTTCAGTCTTCTCTGTCCTAGAGAAACAAAATTATTTTTCAAACTGGTCCTCAGAAGCATCTTTCTACTCTGTCCTATAGAAACGACCTAAACTACAATCCCCAATAAGGTAGTATAATTAATGAAATAGCACTAGATTCTAGTTACAGGTTAAAAATTAAAAAAAAAAAAAAAATTAAAAGAGAATATAAATACAATGGATCTTGACATCTTGAGTTTGAGTTCTGAGAACAATTTTCAGTTCCATCCACCACTACAACCTTGGAAAAGTTGCTTAATCTCAAGATCTTCTGTGTAATCCCATAACTAACCTTAAAGCATTCCGTATATAAAACAGGTGTCTGCACAGCTTTTCATTCAGAATCTGCAATTTGGAAGCTCTATAGTCTATATAACCGAAAAGCAAGCCTATCAATGAACTTGGACTTCATCTGAATTTTCCAAGTTCAGATTATCCTGTAGCTCTGATAACAGAAGGGTAGGAGACCAAGTTAAATGAATAATGGTAATTACTTTGAACTGTGCACTACTCTGAATGCACTACTCTAAATAAACTACTGAAAACATCATATACTTTGCAGAGTTCCTCTTTGAGACAAATATAGAGAAGAGGATTTCTCAAAAAAATCAACGGTATCCTAAGCTCATTACATTTCTTCCTCACTAATGCTACCAAGAAAGAACTGGATGGAAACCCCTGCCAGAGACCAAACAACTCTTCCAGAAGCAGTGATGGCTCTTCACAAAGGAGAACAGCCCAGCTATCCAAAAGCAATCAGGCTATAGGAATACTCCAGACAAAAGCAAGAGAGGAGCAGAAAAAAAAATTTCAACTGGAAAATATTCTGATGTAATGACCCAGATGACAAAATAAACTTAAGCTTATGTTAAGTGCTGAAATCTACACAAACATATCTATATATGCCAAGAATATGAGCCCACACAAGCCAAAGTGAAGTCTCCACGCAGAGTACAAATATTTTTGATCTCTACTTATAAAAGATGTATAGGGGAAGCTCAAAAGTTCTTTCAGAGACTTAAAGAAAGTAATGTTTAAAATCAATCAAAATGCTTTATCTTGGCTGAAAGGTGATCACCACTGGGGAAAGGATCAGTTTTTCCTTTCAATATGTCTAGAGTACTTTTGTTTCCCAATTGGACAGGAAATTCTACTGTACATCTGTTTTGTTTTGTTTCTGATCACCTTCAAAATGTTACATTTTATTATTTTAAAGAGCTCAAAATAAATTATAACACTTGAGTCACCTTAGAAAACATCATGTATGTAATTACACCAATTTCTTTCATGTTCTCAACTTCTCATTTTGAAAATTTTAAAATATGAAGTAGAAAGCAGAGTAAAATGAATATCATTGCTGATTAAAATATCCGATACTTAGATTCAAAGCTTAAAAATACTGTTAAACTACATTAAATTCTATACTGAATAAACATCCATTCAGTCAGGCGTGGTGGCAAATGCCTGTAATAACAGCTACTCAGGAAGCTGAGGCAAAAAGACTGCCAAGTTTGAGGTCAAGCTTCAGCAATTTAGCAAGACCCTGTCTCAAATTTTTAAAAAAGACCTGAGAATGTATCTCAGTGGTACAGCACCCCTGAGTTCTATTCCTAGTACTACCTAGAAAACAAACAAACCACATTAAATAAAAAATTAATAATTAGGATAGGCCCTGATCTCTTTTTTCTTTTGGTTGTAGATGGACAGAATGCCCTTATTGTTTATTCTTATGTGGTGCTAAGAATCGAACCCAGTGCCTCATACATGCTAGACAAGCACTCTGCCACTGAGTTACAGCCCCAGCCCAAGATACAACCTGACTTCTGAGTTATGTATAAACCCAAACAATTAAGATAATTTCTTGGGTTCGGGTGTAGCTTGGTGGTAGCACTTGTGCAGAATATACAAGGCCTTGGATTTTCACTCCCAGCACAGTAAAAAAATAATAATAATACTTAATAACAACAACTTCTTAACATCATTTTTCTGTGTGTAGCCTTTTTAAAAGAATTAAAAATTTAATGAATTTTGAGTTAAAACATCACTCGTTTTAAGAACAGTGAGCAAGAAAATGCTACTTATAAGAAAATAGAAGTGCTCCTCCTTGAGATACAAGTCTAAAACCTTCAAATTAGGTCCTCATCAAATGTTTCATGTTCTACTAGACAGAAAACATTCCAATATTATCAATATAGAATTGTGGCCTACACAAAACAGGAACAGAGAAATGGAAATGACTGGATAAAGCATAGAAATGCCAGTAGAATAGCTGTGTCCATATGGTAACAGACCAGAGACAATCAAGGTATTTTGGGGATTCAAAATATCTCATCCCTGCACCCTTTAAACCCATGGCTGCTTCGCTATCCCTGATCAGTGTAAAAAGGATTACCTTTCATTGTAGTCACTCTCCAAGATCTTTCAGAACAACAGATAAAAGAAACTATGTTGAAGACATTCAGAAGGAGCAAATACATCTGAATATCATTCCACATAAATTTTAAGTCATGCCAAAACCTGAAATCAGGTTTCATGCATTCCATCTGCCAATGATTTCAATATTCTATGATAGAAAACACATTTTGTAACATGAAAAATTCCCTGGTGATATCCAAATACTTTATTCATCATGTGGCTTTTCTGAAATAAACTGATACTTAATAAATTTTGGTGGTATAATCCATAAAAATGGATTTAAGATTTTATTTATATGTATTTACTAACTGAATATATAATAATGTTATATAAAAAGAAAGATTAACATCTGGTCTGAAAGTGAAACTACATATCAAGTAAAATTATATGTCTCAGCTGACACAGGGCAATGAACAAATAAAATGTACATGTATGGGTGTAGTTCAGAATAAACCATACTATGGGGCCTGGGGTTGTGGCTCAGTGGTAGAGCACTCACCTAGCACATGCGAGGCGTTGGGTTCAATCCTCAACACCACATAAAAATGAAGAAATAAAATAAACGTATTGTATACAACTACAAATTTTTTTAAAAAAGTACTATTCTCTGACTAGAAAGGCATTTCTAAAGAATGTAGCGTTGTGGGGCTGAGACGGTAGCTCAGTGCTAGAGCACCTGCCTTGCATGTATTAGGTACTGCGTTCGATCCTTAGCACCCCATAAAAATAAATAAATAAAGATATTGTACCAACTGCAACTAAAAAAATTTTTAAAAAAAGAATATAGCATTGTGCTGGGCACGGTGGCCCACACCTGTAATCCCAAAGATTCGAGAGGCTGAGGCAGGAGGAGCACAAGTTCAAGACCATCCTCAGCAACTTAATGAGACCATAACCAATTTAGCAAGACCCTGCCTTAAAATAAAAAATAAAATGGTGCTGGGAATGTGGCTCAGTAGTTAAGCACCCCTGGGTTCAATCCTCAGTACTGCTCCCCAAAAAGAATCAAACATTTTACCATTAAAAAAAAAAAGTATCTTTTGGATTTGGAAATTCTATGTGTGTAAATGCTGAATTCATTATCTTATTTACAATTGACTCTTAAACAAAAAGTCTTTAGTATAATTACAGCAATCAAAAACAAAAGAGTAGTTTTTGGTACGCATGGGTCTAAGAAATACTGAAAATCAAGATACTGTCCACCATGATTTGCTACAGTCATATGCACCAATTTATTTCTTGTCTCTGTTCCCCTCATATTATATTGTCATCTATCTCAAATAAAAAATAAACTATTTCTTAAGCAGCAACTTTACACACTCTCCTGAGGGTAGAAGTCAGTGGAGGAGGGTGGGAAGACGATGGAAGAGAACACAGCCACTAGAAAGCTGAACACCCTACCTTTATAGCTAGAAAGTTCAGTCCACTTTCATTAGCCAAAGCCTTTGCTATCATGGTCTTAGAACATCCTGGGGGTCCGTATAGGAGAACTCCTTTAGGTGGCTGAATACCCATTCGGGTGAAAGACTCTGGATGTTTCAAGGGCCATTCCACAGCCTGTTTCAATTTTAATTTGATATTTTCCAGTCCTCCAATATCTGACCAGGACACCTGCAAAACAGAATGTTTTCCAAATGTTAATTTTGCCATGACAGAGAAACTAAGAAAAATAAAACTCATCATCAGCAAAAGAAGTGTTAGAAGGAAAAGATCCACTTAAGAATCAAGAGGCTAAACACCAAAAAATTCAAAGAATATCAAGAGCTAAACTAGGAATACATAAAATATGAGTTAGCTATTGTAGAAATATTGAAGACAGCATTTTTTACTTGTAAATCTTGTATAAATATTGCTTGAATGATTAAATGTACTATTAAGTCTATCTTCCTGACAGCTTTAAAAGTTAGGTTTCATCTGTCTGAAAATGATTTGAGTCAATGATCCAAGATCTCATCTACATATCTAGCTTCATACTTCTTTTTTTAGCAAAATTACTTTCAAAAAAATCCTTGTAAAACATTTGATTGTTTTGTCTCTGGCATGTAAGCAGAATATCTTTAGAACTCTGTTCCTTCTCTCAACTAAGAAATAACCTCCAATCTACTGCCATAACACCCTGAATGTGCCCAATCTTGTCTAATCTTAGAAGCTAAGCAGGGTCGGGCCTGGTTAGTACTTGGATGGGAGAAATAACCTCCAAAAGAAAGTAGCTCTTCAGGCTTTATTTACTTAAAAATATGCCTTACGAATAATCTACGTGCCAAATAATGTACAAAGAAAACTGGAGAATAGAACATAAATCCAGATTTTAAAAACCTTGAGAACTTAGAAACAACCAGTAACACATACCTAAGAGCCATAGTATAATGAAGAGTATACTAAGTACAACAAAAACACAGAAAAGCCTTTTCAAATTCCCAGTAAGAAAATATGACTTCCTGCTGGGAGGCAACTTGAAAGCCAACTCCTGAGTGATAAATGAGATGTAAAAACAAGGAAATGGTCAGACAGAGGCCACAAAATGACAACATGCTCAGGAGGAGGAAAGAATGAGAGAAATAGAAATAGGATGAGACAAAGAGGATGAAAAGAAAACAAGATTTGAAGGAAGGAAATAAAGTTGAAGCTGTAAGGTGTAGGGTCCTGAAGACTCCGTGAAGTAGTTCAAGATATTCTCTGTACAAACTAAGAATCTTTGAAAGTTTTTAATCCAGAGAGCAGTATATGTGGTCTAATCTGTGCTTCATGAAGGCTTCTCTGATAGAAGATTCATCAGAGAGAAGATAGTGCTTAGGACAGGGAAGGAAGATCGAGTAAGGCCCCACTGCAAATAACCTTTAAAAACAGCTTGGATTGGGGTATAGCTCAGTGGCTGAGTGGTACAGTGATATGTACAGCATGCTCAAGGTCCTGGGTTCAATTACCAAAACCACGAGAGTATAAATAAATTTTTTTAAAAAAAATAGACTGAACTAGGGCAACTACATGTAGATGATGGAAACACATTGGAAAGTACTGCAGAGCGATACTTTAAAAGGTTTTAGAAGTAAAATAAGAAAGAAAATGTATGCTAAACATTCCCAGATGGACTGGCAAAGAAATTATGAACCACAGAAAATATTTAGGAGGGAAAATAATTAAGATAGATTTTTTAAGGGGGGCTGGGGATATAGCACAGTTGCTAGAGTGCTTGCCTCACATGCATAAGCCCTGGGATCAATCCCCAGCCCCACCAGGGAAAAAAAAAAAAAAAAGATAGATTATATATATAAAGTTTGAACATGGAACAAGATATTCAAAAGATCAAAAAATGAGCAGTTGGAATACAGATGGCACAAATGGAGCTCTGGAAAAAGAACAAGACTATAATTTTAGATCTCCATACAAACAGTACTAGAAGCCATGAGATCAATTAAAATTACCAACCAAGGGAAGAGAGATGTGGGTCAAAGGCAGAGAGGTGGGCATCACCTACATTTTATAGATAAGAGGAAAACAAAAAGAATGAGAAGTCAGTGAACAGGCAATTGACAAATTTAAAGGAGAAGAGAGGGACTTTGTTAATATTAGGAAACAATTCCTAATGAATCAATTACAAATGAACCTCTATAGTTTTATAGAATTTGGATGTTTCTGTTTTCTGCCCAGAAAGCCAGAAGAGTACCACATGATAAACATGAGATCACATTTAATTATTTCTTTTAAGTTGTCGTCTCAGGATTTATTTTAAAAAGTAAGAATTATTACATAAAAAGGCATGAATTATAGGTCTCTTAATGCATAATGGAAGTTATTATCCCAAACATTTTCTCTATTTTAAGGTTACCAGCAGTAAGTCTCTCTGCAACATCATCAGAACTGAATTTTTATTTTGCCTATTTGTTCTTTCTTCTTTTTTTTTCTAATTTTACCAATAAAATTAAAATTGAACTTCACAGCAGTGCACGTGAGTTTAAGGTCCTAAAATGTCCAGCAATCACTGGCAGTATCATAGTTAGTGTTTACCACAGAGGACAACTGTGTTACTCAGCTGTGCAGTGCTGAGAAAAAACAACTTGGAGAAAGATCTCTTGGTTACAGTTTCAGAAGTTTCTGTCCATGGTCAGCCTACTCCACTGCTTGGGCCTGTGGTGAGGCAGAGGGAGAGGCAGAACAAGGCTGCTTACTCATGGCAGCCAGAGCAGGCAGAAAGAGGGGAGAAGAGGCCAGCAGGGACAAGACACGTCCTTCCAGGGCATACCCGCTGTGCCCACTTCCTCCACATCGGCCTCACCATCACATTCTCACGCCATCAGCTACAACTCCCTCAGGGGATTCACCCATCACTGAGGTCAGAGAGCCCATGACTGAATCATTTCCTAAAAGCTCCATCTCTGATTACTGATGCACTGAGATCAAGCCTTCACACACCAGCCTTTGAGAGAGATCCCAAGTGCAAACCACTGCAGCAGCTACTATTGGTACAACCAGGCTGGCTTACTCTGGTGTTCTGACCTTTTCAAACCTAGACAAAAGTTGAAAAGTCAGTATAATAAATCTCTGCATATTTTTTACTAAAATTCACCAGTTTTTAATCTTTGCCCCATTTGTTTTATGAGTAATCTCACATTCTCTCTGGACACACAAGTAATCAGTGTGCACACTGACATACCTACTTAGTTTTTTGAAATTCTTTTAATTTTTGTAGAACCTTTATAAAGTGAGCTTCAGATACAATGTCACTTCTCTCTAAATATTTTAACATCTCCCTCATGAAAAAAAATTAATATTTGGGGGCTGAGGTAATGGCCTCATAGTACAGTAATTGCCTAGCATGTAGGAGGCCTGTGTTCAGTCCCCAGCAGCAAAACAAAACCACACACACACACACAAATGAAAACAACATCTGGGAAGAGAATTTTAAAGGTCATCAAAACACTAGACAACAGAAAATACAGAGGACTAAGCAGAAATGGTCAGCAGATCTGGCAATAGGATTACTGTAGAGAGTGGTTTAAGCAGATCAATACTTCTCAGTTTATTGTCTTTTACAGTAGACTGTATAAACATACACACACATGCATATACATGAAGTACACATATACTATATTTATCCGATAAAAGCAGTGTTTGTAATAACTATCACAAATATAAAACCCCTTAAACTTAGTAATACTATATTATTATGATATTCATGATATCACTACTGGTTACTATGCAGTTATCATACAGCAAGAAGTAGACACAATTTGCACAAGCTCTGTAAGCAGCAAATGCCCCTTCCTTGGAGCACAGGAGTTATTTATATAAACTAAGTACTGCAGCAGGATGGATAATTTCTCATGCTAATAGGTAAGTACACAATATAGATAAAATGTCTTTAGAAGTGGGTACATCCTTCCTAATCAATGATTCTTAAAAATACAATTACATGCATATAAATGGCTAGGAAGAATTTTTTCCTTTTTTTTCTTTTGCACTTCTGGAAGATCACTATGATTACAAGGTAGCATGAAGACTAGAATGGGGCAGAGGCAAGCGTGTAAAGAGTCGGACCAGTTCAGAAGATTGCTACAGTAATTCAGGTAAGTAAACTCTGAAATTAAATCAACCAGCACTATAATCCGGTAATCTTCAATGTGCTGAAATTCTGTACTTAATACATATCAGATGTCTGATTTTTAAGTAGTCAGTAGTCTTTTTTTTTTCAATAAGAGGAAGTTATAAAGAGATACCCCGAGACACTTTCATGAAACACATATTTTGAAAATCACTAAAAGAAGAAAATCTATGTCATGAGAGATTATTTTTTTTCTTTTGTTCATTTAAACCCAGGAGTTTGTGCATGCTATGCAAGTGCTCTACCACTGAGTGATATCCTCAGACCTTTTTACTTTTTATTTTACTTTGAAACAGGGTCTTACTAAATTGCCCAGGGGGGTTTGGAATTGCAATCCTCTGGACTCAGCCTCCAGGAGCTGAAATTACAGGTGTGCATCACCAGATGCAGCAAAAAAGTAGTAAAAAAAAAAAAAAAAAAAAAAAGAAGAAGTGTCACTTTGATCAAGAGATGGGAAGGGCTTTTCCTCAAGAAAAATTAAGACAATCTAACCAGAAAACTGAACATTCACTTAAAAAAAAAAAAAAACAAAGAAAAAAAGTCCTCTTCATGAACCTGGCAGTCCCATGCTAAGGAACTGGTCCACTTCCCTGAACAATGAAGGGATCTACAGAACTGAGAGAGAATTCTGTCTCTTTCCTGACATTCTAGGCCTTGCTTTATCAGTGATCCCTTCTCTATTCCTGTCTTAACTGTAGTCTTCTCTAATCCATTAAACCCCAAGTTTCTAATTCTGCAACTGTGTCAATAAAACTGATATAGGTACATTAAAATAGGTTGGAAATCATAATCTAGAGCTTTATAACTTATATTCTTATGCTTATTTATATATTAATTATATTGTTCTTCCCATCCTTCAAAACATACACTTTGATATTCTTCCTACCTAAATTTTATTACTTTTTCTTTCACCACTAAACTTCCTAAAAGATATTTAATATTCCTCTAGTCTACTGCACATATATTTTCACTTCGTACTTAGTTAATCTAATGTTTCCCAAATAGAATCTTC